ACTCAGTTTTTAAGTAAAATCTCAGTAATTACACAGGACACTGCTGGTTTACATTTACCGGAAACAAAATTAAATATTCCCAACTGATTAAACTGCTTCTCAAAGCAATGCATCAAGAGTGGAATTTCTTGTCACATTTACCTTCCCTTAGTAATTGTTTTTTTCTGTTATTTACAAAATAAAGAAAATTGTGTAAATTATTTTGTTACTTTTCATCGAAGTTTTATTTTGAGATGGAGAAGTCAGAGCAAACATAGATTGTACGATCTTAATTATGAAAAGGTGAACAGAAAGGATAATTTTGTCCTTGATCTTTTTGTAGGTATAAGCCTATGCAGAAAGTGGATGGAGTTACAGATGGCTTCACAGGAAGTGGTCAACAGACAGGCACATCTGTTGAACAAACTGTAATCGCCCAAAGTCAACATCATCAACAGTTTTTAGGTATGAAAGCAGGTTTTATACTGCTGTATAAATAAGTAAGATGCATTTCATTATCACTGTGAGTATCAAGTCACACAAGTACAGTAGTTGCTTCCAAAGTTATCACGCCCTCTTTAAAATTCTTGCTTACAACACTCACAACAGAAGAAAAAGACACGTAAATTAAATGTTGTATTGTGAGCTTTATGTGAATTTCATATGCATCATATAACTATAAAAGGCAAAAATATGCAAATTCTGTATGTGTGATATATTTAAAATTATATTAATCACAATGTAGTTGCTGTGCAAAGCTATATTAGACTTGTATATTGAAATTCCTCTAATGAAAGTTGTTCCCTGCATGTGCTTTACAGTGCATTTTATTTCATAAAGTGTGTGTGGAGGGGTGTTGCATTGTAAAATTTAAAAATGTGTGTGCATTTAAAAATGTCTAAGTTGTGGATTCATTGATCCGCCTAAGCATGTCTTCTCAGTAATGGAAACAATTGGTAATTTAGTCATTTATTTATGTAGAAAGACTCTGTGTTATTGAAAAAGATGTAGACTTATTTGGTTGGGATTTGAATCTTCCTTTCCATGTAATCTTCCATACAGTGTTTTTCTCTTGTATCAGTTCGTCTCTTGGAAATGTTTGTAACAAATAGTAAAAGCACACATTGGCTCAACTTCAAAGTCTAGTAAATTTAAATTAAAATGAAAATGTATATTGAGACTACTAAGCCCCATCCTACCTGGCTACATAGAAACTCTTACACGTATAAAACTATTCAAAGATTAATATTTCAGACACTGAAATACTGTAATATTCTGAAAACGTGTGTGTTAGCTTTTCTATATAGGTGTAGTATGTACATGACATCTTTTTAATATCTTCAAGAATAATTTTATACTTCTTTTTGATTAGAAAATACTGTCTGAATTTGGTTACAATTTTAACATAAAACAGGTATGAAAGACTTTTGATCATGACAATTTGGAATTTATTTAATTTTTTTCTTAATGATACTGTAACTGGCACTGTTCATAATAGCCCTCTTTCATTATGTTGTCATGGAAACAGATGCGTCTCGAGTACTTCCAGAGTTTGGAGAAGTTGAAATATCTTCTCTACCAGATGGTACAACCTTTGAGGACATCAAATCACTGCAGAGTCTTTATAGAGAGCACTGTGAGGTATTTCCTATAAATGATTTATTTTTTGAAGTTCGTGACTTCTAGTGAAGGTCAATACAAGACAGTAATGCCAAATATATTGCAGCCACATTAGTGGTATGTGACTTTCCCCCAGGATATTTTGCTCATTTCATTGGGGAGGACATTAGTATAAAGGCTTTTCAGTTTATAGAGCTGCATAATTTAAGGATATCAAAAGTATTAAAACAGATATTACTTATAACTTGAGAAAGGTACAGTTCGCCTTTCTTCCACTACGTGATGAAGGAAAAATAGCTATAGATCTAGTTGGAGTTGGGGGAAGCTGGGTAGAACACAATCTGTACATGTGTTTTATTTTCTCAGGCAATACTGGATGTGGTTGTGAATCTTCAATTCAGCCTGATAGAAAAATTGTGGCAAACTTTCTGGCGCTATTCTCCCTCTGCTCCACCCGATGGCACTACTATTACTGAACCAAGGTCCGTAAATGTTTCTCTTAATTTACTGCTTCTCGAGATAATATAATACAAGCGTCAAATAAAAAAGGTGTCTTTTCCTGGCATTCTATCCAGTTCTTTTAACCCAAAATGATCATTCATACCTCTGCCTAATTTATGGGCTGTGGAAGAGCTATGGAGGCATTTTTAAAATCCATTTCCATGTGACACAACTTGAGTCATGTTGGGTGTAGTTGGGACATCTTTATAAAATAATAACATTTTAACACCTCTTTCAGGTTTTTACCTGCCTGTAAATGCATTATCATTTATTCATTTGCTACATTTTTTCACACCAGCAATCTGAGTGAAATAGAAAGTCGACTTCCAAAAGCAAAACTGATTACTCTGTGCAAGAATGAGTCTATTCTGAAATGGATGTGTAACTGTGACCATGTGATGTACCAGGCTTTGGTGGAGATTCTCATTCCCGACGTCCTTAGACCTATTCCTAGTAAGTTAAACACCTGAAACGTTTTGTAAGGATTTTTGTGCATACATGTGTATGGTGGTCCTGTGCCTCACAGGGCAGCTTTAGGAATAAGTTTGAAAGTTAGGAAAGTATTGTGTAGCATTTATCCTTACTTTTGTTGTGTAGGAATTTGTGCTGAGAGTTGATGTATGCTTTGCATTCTAAAAGCAACTGAGGATTTTAGTGCAGTTGGAAGATCTAGTTTTCAAGATAATAGTTTCATATTAAAAATACTTCTTTATCTGTCTTTTACATTTTCAAATAAAAATGTTTTCCTTTTACCCTGGCTCTAGACTGCCTGATAGACTTAGACATAAGTTCTGTGGCCCTGAGCCAGCGTGCACTAATGTCAGCCAGTCCTTCCACTAAGTTCAGTAATTTTTAGTTTAAACATTACATATTAATCTCTTATTAGTCTGAAAAAAAAAATGTGTGTGGTCTTTGCGATTCCATTTTTTGGACAGTTAGTCCTTTGTTCCTTATTAGTGGCTGCTGAAATAAATCTTAATGACTGTTAAGACAATGAAAAATTAACTCAGAAATTTTTAGTCCAATTTATTATTCCAATCTGCTGGTTTTTTCTGTCATACGTCCTGCATGAAAGAGGCGATAACTGTCTGGCCACTCAACCATTACCAGGAGTGCAGCTTTCTTTTCAAAGTTAATTTTACTAGAATCCATCATTGCTCCAGCAGTGCATTTTTATGGCTATTTGTCCTGGTTTTTGCTAGGATAGGGTTAATTTCCTTCTTAGTAGCTAGAAAGCACTCTGTTTTTGTTTCAGTGAGGACTATTATGAAAACAATGTGGATAACTACAAGGACACTGGGCTTGGGCAGTTTCCAAGAACAGAGGACTGGAAGGGGGGAGTGGAGAAGAAAAGTGTAGTAGTTAATAAAACCCAGAATTGACAGTTGGACATGCCAATAAGATATTCCATATCATATTACATCATGTTTAGTGTATTAACCAGGGCTGACTGGAAAGGAGGGGATTCTCTCAGGAATCGCTTGGGCTCACTTTTCCGGGATAACAGTTTTGGTTTCAGGGTTCCTTTTCACTCCTCTGGGATCGTTATCAGTGGGTGGTGAGCAATTGTACTCTGCATCATTCCTATTTCTATTTATAGTTGTTATCATTATTACTCTTATTTTTATTTTATTTTTACTCTAATTATTAAATTGTTCTTATCTCTACCTACAAGTCTCCTCACCTTTACCCCTCCAATTCTCTCCCTGATTCCCTGGGTGGAAGGGAAAAGGTGGCGGGGAGGAGGCTACAAGTGGCTGTGTCTTGTTTGGCTGCCAGATAAGTTAAACTATCTCACTCTTTTTGGTAGAAAATGTACTTATGTGAAGAAACTTGAACTCCTTTATAAAGCATTTATTCTCTCACATATGTTGTGCTAAATATTACAAAGAAATCATATAAGCAACCCACTATAAACCCTGTAACTCCTATATCCCTTCCATGAAAAAACAGTAATCACTTTATAAAGTTGGATTCTTTTTTTTTTTTTTTTTTTTTTTAGGGCCTTAAGTAGCTTTGCAGCTAAGAAAGTTATTTTTTCATGCTGTGAACACCTGTTATAGTGACTCCAGCAGTAATAAGCATTCCATAAGAATATTTGCAGGTGCTGCCTTGCAGAAAATTTTTATTGACTTTTTGCTTGTTGTTGAAATAAAGTTAGGTTTTAGTAAATTATGTATGATACAAAAAGTTTGGAACTGGGAATGTATAAAATCTGAACATCAGCCATTTACAAAGGCAGTTTTACCTTTTTTTTTTAAAGAAAGAGTAAGTTCTTGATAGAGATTGACATAATTTATCTTTCATCTATGTAGAGGAATAAAGGAGAAATGTTTCCTCAAATACATGTAATTATTGAGAAACATTGCTTGTATAAATTGTTTTGCATTGGTTTATATTTGATGTTTTACTTTTTTATCTGATGACAATGTAAATATATAGAATATTAATTTTAGAGTAATATAGTCTATCACAAGCAAATAGGCAATGTTTAAAAACCCACAAATTTAATTACAACATTTAATAGGTTGAATTAAAACTCTCTCTTCCAAAAGCACATTACTGTCTGAATAAAAAGATGGTGCAGATGTGGTTTTTCATCAAACCTGCTTTTCACCTTACTTTTCACTTCCTTCCCCTGCAGAGCCTGGTAGTCTCTGAAAAAGTCTTTACATGATAGCTCCTTAGCTTGTGGTACCTTCCTGCCTTGTTTCATAGAATCATAGAATGGTTTGGGTTGGAAGGGGCCTTAAAGATCATCCAGTTCCAACCCCCCTGCCATCAGCAGGGACACCTTCCACTAGACCAGGTTGCTCAAAGCCTCATCCAGCCTGACCTTAAACACTTCCAGGGAGGGGGCATCCACAGCTTCTCTGGGTAGCCTGTTCCAGTGTCTGACCACCCTCACAGTAAAGATTTTCTTCCTAATATCTAATCTAAACCTGCCCTCTTTCAGCTTAGACCCATTTCCCCTTGTTTTGTCATTAACTGCCCTTATGAAAAGTCCCTCTCCAGCTTTCTTGTAGCCCCTTCAGGTATTGGAAGGCCGCTATAAGATCTCCCCAGAGCCTTCTCTTCTCCAGGCTGGACAGCCCCAACTCTTTCAGCCTGTGCTCATAGGAGAGTTTGGGCGTTGCTGGTACAGGGTTTCAAGAAAATGGGACACAATCATTTAATATCAATAACTATAGGCATCAGATTCTTTTCATGCCATTTCTTTCTTTCTAGAATTGCTAGTCATATTTGAATATTTGATACCTACTGTGTTTGACATTTCTGGTTTTGGGATTATTATCAGACTTCTTCATGCAAACACATCATCTGATCCCGGAACAAATTCATCCCAAGAGACTTCTGCCTATATTTTGTGAACAGTCCAGTGATTTTCTGCTCAGAAGTCCATCCACTGAGCTACCTTTGGAAAACAGCTAATGTATTTCCTTATTTTTATCTTTAGGACCAGCTAACTAAATGGCTTTTTCTAGTCTGCTTTCCTGTAGTGATTGAACATACAAGTTCTCTCTTCACTGCTAAATATTTAAAATATTATTAATGTTTTAACTTCTGCTTTTGAATTAAAATATATCCAGCCCTTACAAGAGACCAAGAGGAAGGCTTAAGGTTGTGCTTAATGTTTGACTATAACAATAAAGGAGATGGGTGAAGTAGACAAATTCATCATCTGTAGGAAAATAGCAGTTTATAGGAAATTTAGACTCTGTAGAGGAAAGGAAACTGTAAATGCTTCATCAAAGGCATGTTTATATTTTTTTTTTCCTGAATAAATGGAAAGATATCGACAGCAGATGCTCAAAATTGGCCAATTTGGAAAGTACTTGAATTAAGCATATGATTTTTTAAGAGTTATCTTTTTTCATGTCTAGATTTTCAGAGTTTTTCTGTTACAAAAATCTTACTGTGCAACGCAGCTGTGAGATACATATTACCGGAGTATAAAAAAATTTAATTTTTATCATTGAGGAAAAAATTGTTTTATTTTTAACCTCTATGTTAAATTTGTCAGCTGAAATGTTTAGTACCCACAGAATGAATGAAGACGTGCTGTACATAAAACAGCAAAATTCCCTTTCCTAAGAAAAGCAAAATGCTGTCCATTTGAGTCAGGAATAAAGACCATAATTATCTAATATCTTTGGCAATAGGCCAGAGCTATTATGTTTGAGAACTGACTTTTTGTACCTTCACAAGTGACAGCATGGTCAGTAACAAACTTGCCTGTGAGTTAGTTTCTATCACAGGTGAAGAATTTATGCTAAAATATTTCCACACTGTATTACACAATTCCAGGCAAACAAAAATTTTAAGTACTGGAATGTCTGTAAAGCCTTGTTTTTATGAGATTTGCATGTCAGAGGGTTTTTAGCTAAGAACTCAAGCTTTTTAGGTGCTTATCCAAGTCAGACTTTCTATCTGTAACTGTCATTACAACATCATTTAGTGTATGTCTAGTAACAATTAACTAACTCGGGCCATTTACCTTGCACCATACTCATCATGTGATTCCTTGAAAGGGTTTTCTTGTTTTTCTATGGCAAGCAAATGAACTTAAAAGAAGGCTTTCAGGATGTAGGTAGTTAAGAATTTGGTAATGGCTAGATGTATACTTAAGATTGGAGTATGAGAAAAATTCTATTGAATATGATTTCTCCAAAGCTTATTAGAAATTCATCGCTTTTCTGTACAATACTGATGCCTGATTATCTACTTTAGGTATTTTATTTCTTCAGAACTGACAATTCCTTTAATTTGCTCCTCTTTCTTCCTAGTTAAAGGCCTTTTGAAGGCCTGAGCTGCTTTTCCATATTTATTTTTAAAGGAGATCAGCATTATAGTGATGCAAATAATTTTGTAATATATAGTTGAGTAAAAAATTGAATTAAAGTGAAAAAGCAGTAATATTTTCCTTAAATGCCTAAGTGTAATTCATACAGTATTTACATTATTCCTTCCACTTTGCATTTTCTTGTTTTATAGGTAAGAAAATGTGCATGAATACATAGTTAATTAGTAAGTGCACAGAAATAATTTACAAAGCAGAACAAGTGAGCAAGGTGATTGACAGGATTAAAGAAAAAAGCTTGTTCTTCATGTGGAAACCTCAAGGGGGAAAAAAAACCCAAACATGTTACCATAGAGTGTTCAGCTAATATAGAAACTTTGTAAGATCAAATTGTGTTCAGCTAAGCATCCAAATGTGTGGTCAGTTATATAAACTACTGATGGATTCTACTGCTTATCATTGTAAATTTGAAGACGCGGAAAAGATGTCATGAAGAATGCATTTTTTATTTTAGTAAATTTACTTGGCTAGTAGAAAGCTTTGTTTAAAAAAAGGATCATCAATAATTCAAATGATAAAAGAACATTTCTTAAAGACAAGTTCTATCAGCATTAATTTCTTACTCTGACAGAGTGTTCAGCTTTATAAACAGAATCCAGTCAATCTTTACTTGGAATCTTTCTTCTCACATGTAGCTAAAATAGTCTGAAAATATTATTTCCTCTTTCTATTTTTCCTCTTCACGTTTGTAGTTGCATTCATTCTCTACTAGTCTTTAGAAACCTGTATTTTTTTTCGTTTTGTCTCCTACTTTTTGCAACTCTTTGATGGCTACTATTATGTCAATGAGCAAGTGATAGATAAGGGAAAGCAAGGCTTCTGCTACTCAGGAGGTAGGATTTTCTTTTTTCCAGGTGCAGTTCCTTGGGAAAATACTTCCAGTCCTTCTGCTTTGAAAAATTAAAACTTATATTTTGAGTAGTGCAGATTGCTGTAAGGGCTTCCTCAATTTCTGTCTAAATCTGTCAGCTACTCAGCAGTTCTGTGGGTGCTATAGTAAAGAAAAAAATGCACACAGATTCCACAGCCATTTGAAAAATCTCACTTCCTGTCAGCGAAACATGCTCCTGTATCTTGCTTATTGATGATACCCTTAAGCACTGCATGTTGGATTTTGTTCTTTAAAACTGAAGTAAGCAGCACCATGACATGGCTTAAGGTTACTTTGGGCTTATTTGAGGAAACTGCAGTATTTCAATAACTGTAATTTTTTCCAGAATTTTGCTCTTTAAAAGAGGTTCTTAGATGAAATGGAAGACTGAAAGTTTGTGATGGAAATTTCCATCACAACCGCTGCAGTTACTGAAGTTCTTCTATAGGAGTGCCCAAAACAATACTGCTGGTCACAAACTTCTTGAAAGATTGTTAGCTGAGGAAGTCAGAACTGCTTATTAAACCAAAACTAAAATCATTATTGCATCATATGTAACTGAATGAATGCATTTTGAACCTAGATGGGATTTGTCTTTTAGTAAGTAAAAGCAGCAGACCTGAACATTGAGTACATAAGTACTGAGGATGGAAAACATTTCAAGGCAGGTTCATTGCTATCTTTTCATTCTGTTTTTATTCTTTAATGCACAGGTGCCTTGACCCAAGCCATTCGCAATTTTGCAAAAAGCCTTGAAGGTTGGCTTTCAAATGCCATGAACAATATTCCACAGAGGATGATACAAACCAAGGTAGACAAAACTGTTGCTGTATTATCCTTGCAGTGGCAAACCAAGTGGGCAGTAGCATCTAAAAGCAGTATTATTTTAAGTTTAATGCTAAATTTCATGCTTAGCATCTGGCATCAAATAATGGGAGAGGAAATAACTTAGTTTTGTCTATAAATCGTAAGGAAGACATTATTTGATCTGCAGCTTGGACATAATTCACATATGAGGGCTCATTGATATAGAATATTAAAATGAAGATAAAGACTCAATCTGTAGAATTAATCTACAGATAAAGAGTACAATATTTAAAAATAAATTAATTTCTTCATAGGTTGCCGCTGTAAGTGCCTTTGCCCAGACTCTGCGAAGATATACATCTCTTAATCACCTGGCTCAAGCAGCTCGTGCTGTACTTCAGAATACTTCTCAAATCAACCAGATGCTCAATGATCTTAACCGTGTTGATTTTGCCAATGTTCAGGTAAAATGTAGCTTTAAATAACAGGCTTTTTAAAAAACAAACAAACAACAAAGAGTATTACTTCCTCTATGATTTTGAACTTTATTGTTAGCTGTCGTTATTGTATCAAGAAAGTGAAGGCAGAACTTTTTTTGCTGATTCATATATGCAGTGATTCAGTCCAAACATGACAGCTTACACTTTAGGAAAGTAAGAGCTCAGAACCGTTACCTGTTTCCATTTACTGTGTTGAAGTGCACATATTCTTCCAACTTCTATGCAAATGTAGAGCAAATACATTCTCAGAATGGGTACCATGAATGTCTTAACAATAGTATAAACGATATCTGAGAATTAGATCTCAGATAGTAGCATAGCTTCTGAAATGTCTCTAAAAGCTATTAAATGCACAACATTTAGTAGAGACTGCTTCATTATTTCAAACACAATGCAATTGGCATACTTAGTATCTAAGTGCCTATGCTTAAATTTACAAGATCTCCTGAGTAATTGATTATATTAGTACAGATTCAAACTAGTTTTCGGTTAGCATAAGTTTATATTTTCACTAAGCTTAATTTCTCCACACGCTTCTGCTCCTCTGAGGGAAAGCATTTTTTCCCCTCTCGCCCAGCAAAGTGAAATGTTCCAGATAGTAGTACCTGGTAGTACTGTGTTTGTCACACTTCCTTGTAAACAAATGTTTTAACGTGCTTGTTAATAATCGTAACAAAGTCAGTCAAAAGTACTTGACCAAAGATACAGTATATTAATTATTGTAATATGTTACCATTTGAGCATCAGCTCAACATTCACAGATGCAGAGTCTGTGAATGTTGAGCTGTTAACTTTGCATATGATAGCCAGAGTGAGCCTTGCAGTTAGTGACTCTTCATTTTTGTCTCTTAGTTTCTGAATTGACCAGCTAGCCTTATTTAAACTTCATAACGCTGACTAAATTGCTTATTATTGTATGCAGAGTGTGTTTCTCCATTTGCATGCAGTTTATGTTGTACTTCTGGTGTGTAATCTATTACTGCCTACAGTCAGCAAACAAAATCCTTGTTTACATACAAAGCTTTCTTTTATGAGATAATATAACAGAAATTGTCTTTAAGCATAATTTCTTCAGAATGAAGGAAACTTTGCACTTGATTTCTTGCTGCTACTTTTATCACTTTAGCCTATTATTTAACTGTTCTTCCTGCTTGCCCTGCCTGTAGTCCCAGAAAAAACTGACAAGTCCCAGGTACTTCAGTAGAAACAGGATTAATGAGGAAAGTAGAAGCTTTTTTTGAAAATGAATGTGGAAAACTACAACATACTTGTGTCATTGCCGTTGTTCTTGTTTCTTCATTTGATGTTTGCTCTTATAGGTTATGCTTTTCCCACCCATTTGCTTTCAACAATACTATGACAGACATAAAAATAAAAACTGCTTTTTAGTTTCTCTAGTAAGTGGGTTTTGTCTTTTTCATCTATTGAATTGCTTAATCTTTGAGAAAGAATTACATTCTGTGCTTTGGCTTATGTATTGTTAATTCAAGAGTTGCCATGTGCTGTAACAGGAGCAGGCTTCCTGGGTGTGCCAGTGTGATGACAACATGGTTCAGAGATTAGAAACAGATTTCAAGATGACCCTTCAACAGCAAAGCACTCTGGAGCAGTGGGCTGCCTGGCTTGATAATGTAATGATGCAAGCATTGAAACCTTATGAAGGAAGACCCAGCTTTCCTAAAGCAGCACGGCAATTTCTGTTAAAATGGTCTTTCTACAGGTAGTATTTAATAGACTTCTAAATAATTTTAACTATTTTTTCTATTATTTGCTGAATTGTTCACTGTAGTAAAGTTAACAGATGTAATGGCTTGCTTATTCATGAAAAACATGTGAAGGTTTTTTCAGAAAATTATTGTTGTTAATCTTGAACTCAGGGCTACTTGAAATTGGCAGGGACTTAAATGATCATTGTTTACTGTTTTAAAGGCCATATGCAAATAAATGCAGTTGGAACTTTGTCCTGAGTTAGAAACATAATAAGAATTTTTTGGATTGAATAACTACACAATTATTAAGCCACTATCTTTTATATTATTTATTAAAACACTGTGGTATCTGTGTTTATTAGATGAGGAAGACACAACCTGTTTTTAATGTGTAAAAGAACATTAAGACAAGCATTCCATATTAGCTGCTTATTGAAACAGTTATCAGAATAAACCTTGTTCTTTGAAAATTACTGTAGCAACTACTTGCTGAAGATATCAGAATTTGTCAATATAGTATGTTCACACAAGCCTATCTTTTTGTAATTTTAAGTTTCAAAGTTTTAAAATTGTGACAATTAAAACCTTTGTACTGGGAAAGTGGACACAACAGACATTATTTAAGCATTACTTTGTTTAAAATGGAATCATTTTCTTACTATTTTAGTTGTTTATGTTTTCACCAAACTTTTCTCTCAATTTAGGTTTTACTTATGCTCAAGTATTGGTAGTTATGTGTATATCAAAATTAAAAAAAACCTGAAAAACAAAACAACCTAGTTATTTCTTATGTAATGTGGTGTCTAACAGTACCTTCAGAGAAAGGAGAGAAGCAAATGATTGCCTTTCCTGGACATCTCTCTCTGAAGACACCATAAGTCAGACAGTTGTGGATAATGTGACTTTTGAGAATATTGGTTTTGAGGTGAAATGTCTGCATGGCTAAGTGTTAAAATGACTATGACATATAATACATAAATATGGTTTTTTTTTCTATTTTTAATAGCTCAATGGTGATTCGAGATTTAACCTTGCGCAGTGCTGCTAGCTTTGGCTCTTTTCATCTGATCCGCTTGCTTTATGATGAATACATGTTTTACTTAGTAGAACATCGTGTCGCTCAGGCAACAGGAGAGACACCTATTGCAGTTATGGGAGAGGTAAGATAATATGTAATAGACTAGACTGATAGATTTAGTTATGGATTTGGGTACGTGTCTTTACATTTTTTAAACATTTATGTGAAGCTGTAGGATGTTCTGCTGTATAACAAGAGATTGGGTTACAAATACATACATCAGTTTCAAACTTGTTTCATTGGTTGATTGTCAGAGTACTAAAATCGCATTGAATTCTAACAAACAAGTATTTCCAAATGAGCTTGTTCCTTAACAAATCTGCATACAGATTCATGTGCACAGTTTGAGAAATGTTGATCAATGTACCACCTTCTTCCAGTTTTTGAGAACTGAATATTTCATGTGAAAATAGAAAAGAGCAGAGTGATAGGAAAGTGTTGCTTACATGGAGCTGTTTACATGTATTCACACACATCTTGAATTCCCACACAAATATTAACACAAGTTAGCTGAGTACTCCTACGGACTTGAGAAAGATGGCTTACATGCAGAATTTTGGTTTTTATGGTACTGTTCACATGCATGTAATAAAACCAGCCCAGACATATGGAGAGGTTTGCAACACATTTGATTTTCATACATGTGTTTCAAAGACTATTGGTTTAAAAAATTAAACAAGAGTTTCAATTCATGAACAGTTTTTTATACTCATCTATGGCATCTGAATGACAAAGTTTTATTTCATCCCTTTTTTTTTACAGTAGTTCACCTAACCTTTTATTTTGAGTGACACAGTGAGGAATGCATGAATTGTCATCAAAGAATTGCTCATTGAAAGTGCTGGAAAATAGATATATTTTAAAATATGCTAGATAGTTAATGGGAAAGATTTGTTACATTTTTACACTTCACTGTATCATATTCCATGTTACTGATAAACTCCAAATCATTTTGCAAGTTGATTTGGCATCAGGTATCATTCTTTCCTCATGATACATACACAGGCTTATTAAATACTATAAATAGATGCTACACTTTCAAGAGAAATTGGAAATGTCTCAGCTTTATTTGTCAAATGATTTTATATTATGTGGCATGACGTGTTTTAGAAAAACTAAATAACAATGTTTCTGCTTAGCAATCCACCAACAGTATATTTGCTTAATCTCTGCCCTTGTATTTGCAGTAAGGTACTACACAAGTATACAAGTACTACATTCTTGTCTTCTTAACAGACATAGTATATGTTAGACATAAATGTAGCGTAGGGTCTTCTAAAAAGTTTATGCAGATTGAAGATGGAGATATTATGAGCAAGTAAGTAACCTAGAACTTTAGGAAGTGACAGGGGCAGAACAGAAGTAGTAAATACTCATTAAATGCATGTCTTCTTACGTCTCTGTGTATTCAGTGACTGTGACTGAAATAAAATGAGGAAGTCTAAGACTATGGTCTGACTAACACTGTAAGACAGCATGCACTGGTGTTGCAGCTGAGAAAAACATTATCTTTTTTTTCCTTTCCTCTTCTCCCAGCTTTGGACACAGATATTGGCAAAATTTTTCTGAAAAAGACAGATCATAATTTATGGTCAGAAATGTATTTCTCCAAATAATGTTCTACTTTCATTTGAGATTCATTGATGGGATTTTGCTCTGCTGATTCTTATTTAAGAGAAAGTTAGAGGATTCAGGAAAGGAAAAAGAGGAAGGTTGTACATCTCGCTTATGAGCAACTTTTTTAAAAAGGTCTTTTTCTGATGTGAGTAAACTGGTTACTGGATTGTAAACCCTTTCTGAGCAGTGCTTTTCATCTACCTTACAGGTAGATCTGCAACACTGTGACACACCTTCATTTTTGTTCCAGCACAATTAAAGTTTTCTCTGGGAAATTTTAAAAAGAGCTTGATATTAAAATATCAGCAGTTTAGAATGGATATCCATCATAATTTATGGCTTTCTACAACACAGAAATAGCTAACTTCAAGCAAAAAGGCCCTGATGAAGTAATTTTTTAAAAGTTTGTACTTCCTCATTTTATTTTTTTGAGGGTTTACTTAGTGATAATTGTCTTAATAAGCACAAGACTAGGATGGAATGGAAAATTAATTGCTGTACTATGAATGTGGCTGCAGCCAAGATCATGTATTTCAATGCTAGCCTCAAATCAGGCAGAGCACAGATCTGCTCCATCACAGATACTCTAAATTCACATTTGCTTAAGACTGTCCAGTTTTTTTATTGTTTATTTTGCAGTTTGGTGATTTGAATGCCGTGTCCCCTGGAAATATGGATAAAGGTAAGAATTTTAGTCTGTCCAGTGTATAATTATCTGTAGGGCTAATGTATCTCTGAGCAAAATAAGTCCTTATGTTTTGAAAATACAGTAAACCAACCGAAAGATGTATCATGCTTTAAAGTGCATGGACATGTTATACAGATACGTTAATATATTGTATGAATAGAATAAGCTATCTATGTAATATGTAGCATATAATAAAGACTACAATATTGTAGGTTTGTTTTAAAATAAGAATATATTTTAAAGATGTTTATTATTGACACAGGAAATACTCCAAATTTTATGCAGAATTCGGTAGTATCTGATAAGACAGAAGAAGGGAACAGCTGTAAGTATGTAAGACAGGAGTATGCTTATGCATGTTTATATGTAGTAAATGTTTTTCTAAGTGAAGAAGGCAGAATTGCATACAAGTAGCTGCTAGAAAACTTGTCAGTGAAGAGGATAGAAAAAAAATCAGTTCCTTGTAACCTCTTCAGGCCATATTTTGACATACATTCTTATACTTATTGCTTGGGTGAGTTGGGGTGATTTGACCCCAGATCACTCAACTAGTCAGTATAAGAATGTATGTCAAAATTTGGGGTCAGATCACCCCAAATCTCTTCACCTTGGTTATGCTATCTGTAACTAGGAGTAACAACACTTGTTCATCGTATCTTAGAAATGAGGCATTTTGCAATATGAAGTTAGCATTGTTTGTTAGAGATTGTTTTTGAGATTGCAGTTGTTTTTTCCACATACTGTACTGAAGTGACCAAAGCTGGGAGTCTGTTTACCTATTTGAGGTAATCACTGACTTTTTCCATTAGAATTTTAAATTTCCAATTTGTCCTTTGTCAGATTGTTAGTCTTCCCTGTATTTTTGTATTTCAGATTTATTTGCAAAATAAAGGCCCTTGTGTTAGAATTTTTTTCCTTCATAGTAGCTTAATGGTGGTTTGTTTGTGCAGATGAGGGCAGTGAAGTTGAAAGTGAAATAGATGAAGAGCTGGACGAAAATGGAGAGCCACAAGCCAAGAGGGAGAAAACCGATCTAAACCAGGCATTCCAGGTGGACTGCATGCAGCCAGTGCTTGAGAGTGGAGTACAGCAGAACCTCCTGAACCCAATTCATAATGAGCACATTGTTGCAACTACTCAGACTATCAGACAATGCAGTGCTACTGGAAATACATACACTGCAGTCTAATATGAAAGCTCCCCACCCGACACACACCCCATTACATTAGCCCTTTCGGCTTAATATGAAAATAAAATAAAGATAATAAGTCTGAAGATCGACTGTTGTCAAATTTTAGCTGTGCTGAACATTATTTTATTGGAGTTGTTAAATGGAATGGGTGTATGTATTTTGCCAGATCTGTTTAAAAAAAAGATTTTTTTTTAAACAGAATCATTTTACATTGGCTGCTCAATATAGAGTTCTCTTAGTATCAAATGCAAGGAAGATTTTTGCAAAGCTTAATGTTAATGTTTTTGTCCTCTTATAATAATTTAATTTTTCATAGTTTTTAAAAAATGTTTTGATGTTAATTATTAGTTAATATGATGATTTCATATACATAGCTTTTTAATTAGATGCACTTCTGTGAAATATCAAAAGAACTATTTTCTTTGATTTACACTGGAGGCATACTTATTTGACAGCAGATGTATCAAATTTGTTATAAAAGGTGCTTTTCATTGGACAACTAGAAGACACTATTTTGATAAAATTGTGAGCATTCAGGGGGAATTTTTGTAATAATGCTGGAGGGTTGGGAAGATTTCATTTCTTTCTCTGAGAAAGAAGGAAGTTTAAATGACATAATTTTAACAGAATGTGATAATGTGTACGTCATAAACGTACCTAATTATCTGACCATCACATAAACACTGCAAGCTTCCTTTAAACTTTAATCAACAGTTCCAGATATTATTTGCATACCAGTTCCTCTGTTTTGAAGACTACTGATTCTATATGTTGGGCCACTGATCAGTTGCATTTGCTGTTGAGTGGTACTGTAGTTGTTAGAAACTAAAGCTAAAAAATAAGTGACTTTATTATTATTAATTTTGAGTGTACGTGCTACTTATGGTGAACTGGACATACAGGAAAACATTCCATTTGGATGACTTTCTTCTATTCCAGGTCTTTTCCTACTAGTGGTTCAATCTGCTGCTCTTAGAAAAGATGATTTATAGAATGCAAGGAATGTAGCAACCTGCATTATTTTCCTTTCAAAAATATTTCCTTGTTGTTAAAGTGGATTTAAATTTTTACAAAAATTAGATAAGGCAGTGTAACTGGCACACCTCACTTGTACTTATTCCCAATTGTGTAGAATTTGAATAGGTGGCTAGATGGACCATTGCCATTTAAGAATGTACATCAGGGATCATTGTACCTCGGCTATTACATGGTGCCTTAAACAGAACTGAAGCTAAGACTTAGTACTTTTTGTTATTCTTAACTCTTAAATTAATTCAAAAAGGTGTGCCTGTCATTTTCAAATTCCCTAAGAAGTAAAGACAGGTTACATAGCCTTCAAAAAAAAAAAAAAAAAAAAAAAGATTTTTTTATTATTAAATGATTTTAATATCCCTTTCAGAATGACAATAAACCTATTTTTTCTCGTTTCTAGCTGGATTTCACTTTATTACAAATAAAATTTGCTTGGGAATTTGGAAAGCAAAACTAGCTTTAATACCAACTTCAAATGTCAAAATAGATTGACCATAGTCCCAAGCATGATAATATATTTTCTAAACCCTTGCCTACTCTTAATTTTAAAAACTAAAAATAAATAAATTAGCAGGTACATAATGCAGTGCATGTTTTCAATTTCTTTATTTTGTGGGGTATCAGCCAGATATTACATTTTAATGGTTAAATAATGACAGTTTATAGAGACCATATTAATTGACAGTAAACAACTTGAAATTTTTCTTCTTAAACATTTTGTTATGCAGACACATGAATTTGCTACACTAAAATAATGGAATTAAATAAGCAAAAAAGCCAAATAGTGAAGGAGAGCACAAAAAGATCAACTTACAGAAAAGACTGTGTAAGAAAATTAAGGCTTCTTTTATTTTGGAATACCTAGTGTGTCTGAAAGTGACTTGAAGTCATATATACCAAATGGGGGAAGAGCGTGTAAAATAAACAGCGTATTTATAGCAAACAAGTTTGTTGCTAAAATTTACATGTTTTCCAAATACAGTTGCACATCAACTAAAATATCCTAACATTACTGGTGTACAAAATTAAATTTTAATTCCTTTGGAGAACTGGGAGGTGAACCCATCCTACTCATTCTAGGTAGGCATAATTCCTACTAATGCCAGTAGATGGCTTTTGCCTCAGTAAAAAGTGAAAGTGAGGTTTATATTAATTATTTCTAAATTCATAAATGCACTGTATCTCATTATAGATTTTGTTCTCACATATATTGCTCAGTGTGTCCTGATTTTTCCTTGGAAATCAGCACATCTGTACCCTTCACCAAAAATGCTAAAACTAAGCTGTGATAAATAGTTACTCCCCTTCATTGTGCATTATAAGATGTTTACAAGTAAAATAAAGTGAAATAATTCAACATGGTTTTTTTAATTTTCAGCTTTTTTTAATACTGTAGTACTTGTTTCAGTTTTTGTGTTGATGTATAATGTTTTCTTATTATTGTCCTTTCTTGGTTTAATGTTGGATTTGTTGTTGCTGAGAAAAAGAGTACGATTGTAATAGGTAAACCTAGATTGCTAAAAGAGCTTGGACCTGAGTATCTTTCATTATTAGCTCTCCACTCCGCTCAGTTGTTCACTATTCACAAAGTGCAAAACAAAGCTGAACAAAAATTTGAATACAAAAATGGAATGTATTTCATAGCTTCTAAAAACAAGGAGTTATCAAAAGAAATTGGAACTATGTGAGGTTCAGAAAACTGAATGGAGTCTGTATTCCTGTGCTTAAATTCTAAAGTTTGTACCAGATTTTTTTTAGAACTATGTTACTGTAAGCTGCGTTGCATACTTACAGGTTTGGGGATCTTCTGTTTTGTTTTTACATTTAGTGAAATTTTAATGAAACAGATAAAACATTTTGCACTCGCACTCTTTAATAGTTGGGTTTTAGTTATCATTAAACTACAGAGATACAAATACCTCAGTCCATATTCTATAATGTGTAGCATGCAGTTGTATTGCCGGACCAGCTCTGAAGTCTACTGTTAGTGCTCTGGAGAGGTGTAGCATGTATCCACAGGGTAGACATTAGGAGTGTTGATATGGTTTATGTGTTTTAACTGATCTTGACATGGAATCCAAAATAATGATTTCAGAGGCATTTCCCCCATTAGCACAAATAGCACAGTGAACAGTGTGGGGGAATGGGTATTGTTGAACTACGTTTTCAAAACACAGGGCCCAATTTTCAAAAGTTTTACATTTATTAAAATTTGTTGGTACATTTTCATCAAATCAGTTGCAAAGCTTTTTTTTCTGTTTTCAATTATTATTTCTGTGTTTTGCTCTTGTACTGTAGCATGCTCTAAGCACCTTCTTTTAAAAAAAGTTCCATAAAATTTGGAAAATAGATTTTAAATTACTTATCTATAAAATGGTGATTTACTGTATTACTGCCTTTAGTTCAAAAATAAGAAAATAAATAATGCTCTGTCATTCAGGAATGTATAGGTCTATATACAAATTTAATTTAAAGCGAGGTATTTTTAAATATCTAAACCACTTATTTTGTTCACCTTGTTTTCCCTAGGAAAAATGTTCTGATATCTTTTGTCATTCTCACCAATTGACATCTACACTGTTTAGAAAAAATTTTGTTTTAGATGCACTGCAATCCAGTTAAATTAAAAATGTTTTTGCAAAATGAAGACAACCATTAATAGCCATAAAAGTGCTGATGAAAAATAATTTATTAGTAATGTAAGTATGACTTGGTACTTCTATACAACAATAATTTCAGAGTTTGAAACATTCATTCGAGAGAGCAGTATGAATTTCTGAAAATTGGGCCCTTTGTCTCTCTAACAGGACGTTCTCTTTGTATATGGTTTAAAACAAATCAGTAAATGGAATTCTAGTATCTCTGTTAATTTGTTTGGTGATTTAAGACAAACAAACAATGAAAACTGGAATAGAAGCATAATAACACAGTGCTTAGTTCTAGTATTATAAAATTAATTTTATATAATGCCTTGCATTAACCCTTTGAGCATTGTAAATAACATGATGGGAACAAAGCTTTTTAGATAATTAGCCCATTGAGCATATACTTTGAAATAGCTGATAGTGTTATAGAGATTTTTTTAATTATTTCTAAAGTCAATACTTGCATACTATATGGGAATGGTTTTGTTATAGTAGGCTCAATAGATGTAGGCAAAATAGTCACTGCCATTGCTGTGTACTGTCTAATAGAAAACAGTATTTCAGCTCCGTTGTTTTCATAATTGCATAAATACATAAAGAAAATCAAACATATGTTTCTACAGATATGAAGTTCTCTACTTTAAGATGCCTTTAGAAGATAAAGTTTAAAAAATATATTCATACTATTTTGAAAATCTCCTGTGGTAGGTTAGTATTGGAATACTCTGGTACTGTAAAAGAGAATCTTTAGGATTAAAAGAAGGCTTTGTGAACAAGAATAAAATTTGCAGAATATTTCATATGTTTGCATTGAAATTTTTGGCAATGCTTTTGATAAACAAGAACTAAAAGTGCACCAGTATATTAATATTCCTTTTAAAACTCAGTCACTGCAGCAATGGCTCGCTAAAAGATGAAGGTATTTTATTAACCTACAGGGGTGAACTGAACGTCAGAATTTTAAAAGCAACCTAGAAATTACGCAAGCCTTTTGCCATTTTAAATAGCCCCCTTGTTCTTACAAATACTGCTTAGAAGAACAAGGGAACAAGTATAGTAGCAAGTAGAGATTCTTTGAACTTACAGATAGAAATGCCACCTTACTAAGTAAGAGTACAATAAATTTTCTACTGCAATATCAGTCAGTCAGCAAACACTAAGTGCAGCTGTACTTATTTAAGTCTAGCTGAGGGCAAAAAAAAAGGGTCTTATTTTAAGTTGTTTAATGGAATTATGTCAGTAGTATAATGCAAGTAAGTTGTAAACATTTTTAGTCAGTTATTGTAAATTCATGCATAATTAATTACATAAATGCAATACTCAAAGGGTTTTAATTTAACAACTTTTTTTATTTATAATTTACTGTAAATGCTTCT